TTTCAACAAATATTTGTATAAATATACGATTAATAAAGAAATTATTACGATGCATTTAAACTTATGCGTATATTCAATCTATGCATGTTTCGCAACATTTTTCAATTTATTTCAATTATTAATTGCATATTCTGGATTTTGAACTGACAGAATTTTGTTTTAGTCGGCATTTTATTTTGTCGGGATTTTATCTTGTCGAAATTAACATGTCAGGATTTTATCTTGTCGGGATTATGTACGTCGAGATTAGCACTGTCGGGATTTGTGCTGTCAGGATTTTGGATGTCGGGATTTTGTGGTAGATCCGGATAAGGATAATCGTGTGTTGACCGTAATATCGGCTATTTCTGGCTTTAAACAGCTATAGCTGTAGCCGTTCCCATCCCTAGATGTGAGCGCTATGCGTAATTGGTCGTAATTATAATGAATTAATGTCATAGTTTAATGCGCTACGGGAATTTTGAAAATCATTATTATCATTTGTTTTTTAAGACAATTAATTTACAGACAGTTCATTTCATAGATAATCATTAATAGCAAATAACTCCCGAAACAGCATTAAAATTTTCTATAAAATGAACTGTCGATAAAATGAATTGCCTATGAAATGAATGTCTGTAAATTAATTATCTTTAAAATAAACTTGTCTATGAGTTGATTGTCTGTGAAATCAGATGTCTATAAAGTGAAGTGCTAAATCTAGATACAATATTAAAAAATCAAAATATCAACGTGTATGAACGCAAGCACATATAGTAATAAAAAATGTATAAATACTTGTAATGTCGTCGTTCCTTCTATTATTTTACTCATATTTCTTTTAATATATTTTCTTTTTTTTTAGAGATTAGAAAAGATACATAACAACCATCATCCCAATAATTTTTTTTCTTTCTGAAAAAGAAATGGATTTTTTGAAATATATTACCTTTATTTCCGTATTAATTTATTTGTTCGTTTTGGTTACTTCAGTTGAGCCGAATACAGAAGATGATAGAGTTTTATTTAATGTTATTCTGAAATCTGAATCAGATCGCGATAAACACTATGAATGGTTAAAGAATAATACCAATATAACTGTTGTACAATTTAACAAAAATATTTTATCGATTAAAGATAAAAATATTGCAAAGGATTTTTCTGTTGATGGTTTTTGCGGATACCATGGCTGGTTTACTCAAGAATTTGCTAGTAAAGAATTAACGCAGAGAGATGAAGTCGCTGTTGTGGAACAAGATTCTATAATGAAAGTTAATTATGTGGTTCCACGTGATGTCCAGGATGCCATAATCCCAAATCGAAATTTGGATCGTATAGATCAAGCAAATTCTATTTTAAATAGAAAATATGACTATCCTCATACAGCAGGTGAAGGCGTAAATGTTTTTATAGTGGACACGTAAGTAGTTTAAAATGATAACTGTTATTTAGTATTCATTAAATGTTAGAATAAATGATTTAATGATGTTTCTGAATTATAGCGGTATATTTAAGGAGCACTCAGAATTTGAAGGACGTGCTAAATCTGGTGGTTTTTTTTGCGACGGATGTACTAGTGATAATGACGAAACTGGACATGGAACTAATGTTGCTGGAATTGTAGCCGGTAAAAATTTTGGTGTCGCAAAGAAATCTACAGTTATTTCTGTAAGAGTTTTCAATGCTACCGGTGGGGGTACCGCTTCGACCGTTATAGATGGATTAATATTCGTTCTAAAAACTCATATAATATCAAAAAACAAAAATTCGATAGTCAAGTACGTATTAATTATTGTCTGGAGCGTAGCGACAGACACTCAATTTCTACGCATTAAGTGATACAAAAGTTACGTTTTTGATGCGTTTCGACCATCAAACGTTCCTTTTTGATGCATTAACGTAATTATTATAATTAACATATCAATAACGTAACTTCGAAATTTTTTGTCTGTCCCTCCGCGTGACGCGTGATTACAAAACTATTTTGAAAACAACAATTGATTACCGGTACAGTCAGGAATATTACCAAATATGGTAATGCCCCAGACTTATATCGGTTCCCGATTCCTAGTGATATAAATTATTTGAAAAATTTAATCGTTAATTTAATAAATTTTTTTAGCATGTCTCTTGGAGGGCCGAAATCAGAGGCAATAAATTTAGCAGTAAAAGCGCTCACAGATGCAGGTATTCACGTAGCTGTGTCAGCAGGAAATGACGCTACAGATGCGTGTTTTGGATCACCATCATCCGCACCAACTGCAATAACTGTCGGTGCAGTAGAAGTTGACCCGACCGATAAAGAAAAGAATAAAATCACATTTTTCTCCAACTTTGGAAAATGTCTTGATATTTTTGCTCCAGGTCTTGGAGTTGCTTCAGCAGGTATTTTTTCTAAATTTGATATGAGTTCACTATCAGGAACTTCTCAAGCATCACCATTTGTTGCTGGTACACTTGCTCTTATTATTGCTAAAAATGGTAATACAAGTCCAAAAAAAATGGCCACTGAATTGAAGGATTTGTCAACTAAAAATGCAGTAGATTTTGGTACAAATGCTATTGCAAAAGATACTCCAAATAATTTTGTGCGCGTACCTGCACCATAAATAATTAAAATGTCATTATATATTCTTGTATCTCTAGTAGTGAATATATTAATTAATAAAGTTTCTTCAAGTATATATGAATGAATACATTTAATTCATTACTCCTACTATATTCGTATTAATATTTACAAAGTTTGTCACTACTGCTTTTATTTTATTTTATTTTTTAAGAGTGAGGCCTGCCCTCGGTCTTTATTTAATAATTATACGTTATATTATAAAAACGAATTACAGAATTATTACAGGGACCTACAGCTAGGACTAGTTCATTATCGACCCAAAACTCTACCAGATTGGCTACCTGGCCTCTACTAGATTTAGTATTGCTGTGTAATATGTAGATATGTTAGTTGTAGTGAATATGCTTGACCATTTATTGTTTTAGCTAAACTAATGTCATTAGTAGTGGGTGGGGTGGTGATGGGATCGTGAGGTTTTCTGCTAGTTGTCTATTTAAGTGGACGGTATGAAGTGCTGTTTTGTCACTTTTCTTTTTTTTCTTATTTTTCTTTTTTTTCTTATTTTTCTTTTTTTTCTTATTTTTCTTTTTTTTCTTATTTTTCTTTTTTTCTTATTTTTCTTTTTTTTTTTATTTCCATTTTCAGTCTTTCGTCCGGTTTATATTTCTTTTTTTTAGTAACGCTCAGGTATAAAAAAATATAGTTTGTAGTAACTTGATAGAACCTCCAAAAACTAGTTACATCTGCGCAAGCAATTTTTGTGCAATTTTTACATTGTTATCAGCAGCTTTCTGATACCATTTTAGTTGTTGATTGGAATCATTTGTAAGACTTCCTAGGATAAGTTGTGCATGTCCACTAGGCTCACTTGCATTTTGCATAGCTGACTTTAACAACCATTTATTTGCTTCTTCAAAATCATCTTGTAAATAAGCTTATCCTAAATGCAATTGTGCATCAGCTAATCCTTCTATGGCTGCTTCTTTAATCCATTTGATTCCTTCAGCTTTGTTACCATTGCTTAATAATCGAGTTTCTAGATTTACTTTTCCATGATTATCACCAGCTTCTGCAGCTTTTCGGTACCACTCTTCAGCCTTTTGAAGTTCACGTAAGGTTCTTATTCCAAATTTATACATGATGCCAATTTGATTTGCGGAACAAGCATCACCAGCTTCATATGCCTTACAAAACCATTCTTTTGCATTTTCGTAATCATTTTTGGTTATATGATGGCACATAGGGATGGGAACGGCTGGCTACGGCTGGCTATCGGCTGGCTATTATCGGCTAGCCGCGGCTAAATAGCGGCTATAGCCGATCAATTATTTAATTAATTATTTCATCAAGTATCTAAACCAAGTGAATGTTGGTTTAATAATTGTCGCGGCTGATGCTGATTTTGGCTCAGCAATGTGCGATTTCTTACGAAATTTGGGATTTTTTACCAGTACGATCATATGAAATATGTGAGGGATGGTTCCGTTCAACTTTTTGGTTAGCTATATTTTTTCCTATTTTAGAAAGTGTTATGGTTATCGTGTTTTGCTTATTTAGGTATTATTATGATAATCATATGAGATAACTGTCATTTAAGGTAAGCACCGAGGTCATAATGATTTAATTTGATCGTC